ACCTTTGTTCTGGTGTGGGAAACGTGTTTTCAATACTTTATCCATAATAATTTTAGAATATTCACAATAAATTCAGTTACTCATCAGTTACTGATAACACTACCATGTATCAAAACGCGTTTTAAGGAGTAATAATGTCAATAGTTTTCATCAAGTAACAGGTCAGAACATAAATGCAAAATTTGATCAGATTGGTTAATATTTCAACTCATTCACAGCTGCATTTATTTTTGAGTTTTTTCGAGAGCTCTATCTCAAATGAACTTTTTTAACACCAAATGCAGTTTTTAGTTATTTTCTGCTTTTGAAAAAATCACCATTACTACTTGAAATTAGGTTTTTACTGAGTGAACGATAAACTGATTCATTTACTTATTTGTTCATGTGTACGGGTAATCCCCGTGAGGAAAAAGAAATATACAAATACAGTAATACCTCAAAAACTAACTTAACCTTAATGTAAATATATAAAAAAATTATAATTTTAACTGAAAATTAACATCCCAGTTGGTCAACTATTGAATTCTATTGCTATACTGTTTTTCAAAAGTATTCAATAAAATTCCAGGTACTCAGGGTACTCGGAATGAGACTTCACATATTAGTTAATTACAATTAATGTCACCTGATATAATTTTGAATGAGGTAATGATATTTGTTTGTTCTACGAAAAGAAAGAGTGATGAGATTCGCAATATCAAGTATATCCAAACAATCGTATTCTCCAACTATGAGGTCAGATTTGAAAGCTACAAGTTTGAGGAATCTATTTTGGATTGCTTCAATATTATTTTTATGTATTTAGTAAGACCAGACTGGTGACGTAGACATCAAAACAGATCTTTTATAGGCTAGGTAAACAATTGTAATGTTTGGCAATATCTTCAGGATTTCATTGAACTTTTATCTAAGATTTACATTTATCATTATCTTTAATTTCATTTCATTACAACTTTTGATAGAAACACATGTTCACTTTGAAATCATCTTCTGAGTTTTACGACTTGAAGACGTATCCCTGGCGAATCTACTGTAGTAGCTCAATATTGATTGTCATATTTATTTTCATTTCATTTATTCCATAAA